AGACTACGGAATAAAAATCTAAGTGTTGTTAAAAATACAATTTTAACTGTGTCAAACGAAAACTGCCCTTTAAACCATGGAAGCACCGTTTTGCCCCTTTTCCTGTGACAGCCGTGGACCTCTGACGCACACGGGGTCACGCCTGTGTCTCACACACGCTTTGCACATGGATGTGTGGGACAAACACGTGCCGACCACACTGGCGGGGGAAGCGACGTGGGAAGTCCCATCCAGTGGGAGATCTGAGCAAGTGCTGGCTTCACAGAAACCCGGTGAGAGGCCCTGGTAGTGGTCGCTGTGTCCACACAAGGGGCAGCAAGGACAGAGGCCACGACGGGGCCGAGGACGGACTAACAGGAGAGGGTTGTCGTGGGCGACACTTTAATCAGGCACTGCCTTTCGACCTCATTTAAACCCTTCAAATAAAAATCCAGGTCCCTGCCCGCACCTCCCGAGGCAGGACGCGGCCACGGCCGCGTCGGGGGAACAGGCGGCGGGTCGCCCTGCCCGAGTCCGGCCACCGCGCCAGTCTGGACCGTAACACAGTGCGGAAGCGCTCCCAAGGCAGGAAGGCTCAGGGCGGAGGGTCGGCGCGGCCGGGCCCTTCCAAACAGGACACGCCGCCTCTCTAAGCTCTGGGCAGCTGTGCTTCGGGGGCGTTGGAGCCACACCTCCTTCCTCCGCGGCTCCAGGAGGGGCAAGCCGAGGCCACAGGGGGCAAGTCTGGATGTCCAGGTCTGGGTTTCCAGGGCAGGGATGGCTCTGTGCATTTCCACGCTGCATGTGCAAGTTAAAGTGCCAGGGTGCCACCACCACGCAGGGCACCAGGTTCTGCCCAGAGCAACGAGGCCACGGGCCTCGGCGACACGGTTCTGCCCCCAGGCAGGAGGGCGCCCTTATCAGGGAGAGGCGCCGCCTCTCAGGACTGCAGTGACGTGACTGTTCCCCAGGCGGGACCCCTAAGAGGAGGGACCTCCCTGCAGCAGCCCAGGAGGTGTCCCTAGGGCAGGTTTCCCTTGAAGGGCGCGTACGTGGATGGGCCTTGGGAAGGAGAGAGAAGGCCGGAAGGAATCAGCTCCGCTCGCCGGCTGCGGTTCCACGGGCCTTTCGGGGAAACACCCGCGGTCGCCTCGCCCTGCCTCCCAGATGGCGTCTGCCAGGGGCGTTTCACACCTTGTGCGCGTGGCGCGGGCTGCGGCCCTGGGCTGGGACCTTCCTCCATGTCGTACACAGATGTCAGCTCTCCCAAAGGCCTCTGGGAGGAGAGGCAAACCGCGGCCCTGAGCCAATTTCTCTGCAGAAGCAGGCCTCAGTGTCACTGGACAAGACACGTGCATTTTATTCCTGCTTCGGTCGAGTGTTCTCATAAGATGTGAGACTTGATCTGCGTGCGCTGCGGGACCAGGCGCAGGAAACCTCGGTTCAGCCCGGGAGGAAGCGCCACAGGTCATCTTACTGCGGCTCCAGGACGGGCTGCAGCGGCCGGCGAGTGCTCGCTCCGGTCCCCTGGTCTGGCTGCCACCTTCGTGCTGTTACTGAGCTGACCTCCTGGAAGGCCCTGGCGCGTGCTCCTTCCTGGCCCTTCCTGCTCCGGGGCTCCTGCTGAATCCGTTCTCCTGGCTGTTCCTCTGTCCCCGCCGTCCGCTGTCTCAGCCCCCCGCCCCGGCCCTGGGCTCCGCTTCCGCCGGCACCCTGCCCGGGCCTTCCTCGGGGCGCCGGCCTCTGGCTCCCAGGGGTTCTGTTCCACCGAGCTCTCTCAGCGTGAACTCGCTCCCTACTCAGCTTCCTTCCTAATGGCGATTGTCGCCTCTGCTCCCTGCGGGCGTCTACTCCTCTGCGCCAGGCAGGGTCCTAGACGCGAGGGTTGCAGGCGGGGACGCAACGGGCACAGAGGCCCACGTCACCACGAGGGTCCGGGAGGTGGGAGAGGGCGGCGCCGTGGGCAGGACTGTGCCCCACGCAGCCCAGCACTGCGGGTGCTGAGCTGGGGGAGGGCCCGGAGCCCCGGCCTTAACCCAGAGAAGGCCCGTGTGGACGCGGTTTCAGCTTCCAAGGGCTTGAAAAACCAAACATGAGGATATATTTTAAAAATAGTCCACATGTGAACATTAAGCCAGCATTTCTGAATCTATATCTACCAAGGTAAATACAGCATCACCATGTGATCAAATAAAACAGAGACTTTTTTTAACTATGTTAATGTCGTTTCTCTTATTTCTGTCATAAACTCATCTGTAAGCAGTTGGTTAGTTAAATATCACTTCAGAGGTAGCGTTTGGCAAAATATTTCTAAACGTAGACCCCAGGGGTCATAAAGTTCCAGTATTTTGTACTTAAGAGCTTAATAATTTTTATTCAAACGTTGAAGACTTTCCTTTTGCTTCTTAAGAGTCCACATTTCAAAGAGAACTGGGGCTAGGAGGTCAGCAAGCTAGAAACCATAACCCTGGGCACAGTGGAGAATTTCGTCTTTTGTGGCATCAAACAATTTCAGTCTTTTCCTGAAGAAGGAATTCTGAAGTTTCTCTCTCATGAATACCGCGTGTGACCGCTTTTGCTCAGCAGCCACTTAATTATGTGTCTCCTTTGTCAGAGAAGAAAGAGAAAAGTGGCAGGACTTCTCTGCCAGCGAGGACGTAACAGGAAAACCCTCCCCATCTCTCACCCCTTCCAGAAATCATGAGACGTTCTGCTGAGCTCGTCTGTCTCAGAAGTTAAAAACCAGCGGCCCACAGAGTGTCCGTGGTTCCTGGGTGTGTGGTCCATATCGTACTAATGTTAACATAAAAAATTAGTAACTAGTTGCTGAGATTTAAAAATTAAGATAGCTCAGATAGAAGTCCAGATTTCTCATCTCTCTTAAAAAAGGAAACGGGAGGACGGGAAGGCACCTGAAGGGAAGACAGAGGGGCCGGTCCCTTCGGAGGGGCACATACTGGCGTCCCCGCCAGTCCACGACATCAGCCAGCGTTGGGGCTCGCCCGCGTGGCCGGAATGGGTGTATCCACTGCATGCACGCTGCGTGGGGGAGGGCAGAGCTGCAGCCGCAGAGCCGCGCGGAGAGCGAGGCGCCGAGGCTGGCGGTCGGGGGCGGGCCTGGCAGGGCTGGAGGAGCCGGCGACACACAGCGAGGCTTGAGGGGCGTTGGGGAGTCTCCTCCAGCACCTGAACCCTGTTCATCACAGCAGGAGGGGGAGGTGTGGTGAGCCGTGGGGACAGCTAGCGGGCGACCGGCTTTGAGGTGAGCCAAGTGGTAGAAACAATCAACGAAATCCCCTCTCCAGAGGCAAGTCTGGATGTTGATACACCGCTCTCCCAGAGGCCTTTGGTGAGCCCGTGGCCACGGCTGAGTTGCGAGGGCACTGAGCAGTCATCCACGCTGTTCGAAACGCGAGCTCGTGCCTTCTCTCTGAGGGCGCAGGCTAAGGTGGAATCTCCCGGGCGGGGCCGAACGTGGGCCGAGCCGTGGGACGTGTTTGGACCAGCGGAAGTGTGGCGCACACGGCCCGCGTGGCCGGAGCTTCGAGGGCCCATGGGCGTTGGGCACCCCCTCCTGCAGCCCCAGAGCCCCACTGCGCTGCTCCCGCCGCCCGGCTTCCGAGGCGGCCAGGCCCCAGCAGGCCCCCGAGGGCCGCGCGGTGACGGAGCAGTGGCTGTGTGAGGCCCCGCGGCGCGTCTGTCACAGCGGCCACGCTTCGCCTCTCTCACCTCATCCAGGCTCGGTTTTTGACGTGTCTGTCTTGCATCCCCATTATTTTAAAGACACTCTGCCTCTGTATCACGGTTAAATTAAACCTTTCAACACAGCCTCGCCCCGAGCGCCGCCTGTGCGCACACTTGTCATATTGCAGTCACGCCTCCCCGCGCAGCAACCTATGTCACAGCTGTGAGCGGCCACTGCCATGGCACCGGCCGGGGCCCAGTGGGTCCGGCCGCGAGCTCGGACACCGTGTGCCCTCCCGCTCCCAGTCAGGCTCCGGGTTTGAATGCCACTCCCGGTGAATTTAATATGCGTGTGAAGACAGCGTCTGAAAACCATATCAGGGCTGTGCGCACCATCATTAATAGGGACAACAGCCAACAGCGCGGTGCAACGATCTTATTTGCATATGCAAATCCAAAGGGGCACAGGTATAAAGGGTAGGTGCGTACATGCTTTTACAGGCTTCCCCACGGCATCCTTGAGTACTTGACCTTTAGCATCAATTAAAATCATTATGGATACAGCTGGTAAATGTTATCTTATGGGTAATACAGACTCTTGCATAATTACCATTTTCCAGCCGGCTGAGTAGATTACAGGAGAAGGTGGGGGTTATTAGAGGTCTTAGGCGCCCGCCACCGGTGCAGCCGGACCTGACACCTCAAACCACACACACACACACACACACACACACACACACGTGTATGTATTTACTTACGTTGTAGAAACAGCATGCATTCTAAATATAATTCCAGGATAATAGGAAATACACAAGTGAAGAGTTCAGGTATCAGAACAAAAAGCCCTGTTGTTTCAAAAAATGTGGTTAAAGTGATCAAAACCATGTCACCTGCAGAACGAGTTTAGGAATCAGAAATTTACCTTCTAAAAAGGAGAGACTTCACGAGAGACCGAGCAGCTGGTGCCAGACGTGGGAGGGGGCGTCACAGCAAAGAAGTGCGTGCATTTGTTTAGGGGGAAAGGAAGCAGGGCGTGGAAACGTGGGGAAATCTGGAAGGATTTGGGGGACAAGGAAGGAAGCTGCGCCCGGTCCCCCGACTCGGGCGGTGCCGGTGGTCGGCGCGGTCGCCCGCTCTGCGTGCGGGGCGGGAGGGTGGCCGCTGCGGAGTCTCCCGCCCAGAGGGATGACAGAAGCCGTGCTCTGCCCAAGCTCAGTTCCCTGATGAACCTTATTCTTAGACGCCAGAGAGTGAACGCCTCCTCCTGGGACCATTAATAACCGACCAAAAAAATGACGGCCGGTTCATCAAATATTAAAAATATTTCAAGACAGTACCTTTCACTTTCTCTCAGCACGTCCCGTCCTTTCTTCCAGGTGTAGGTGGGTTTCGGAGACGCTGTGGGCTTACACTCAATGACAACCTCGCCTCCTACTTTGACCAGAGTCACCCTTTTCAGGAGGGTCCTTGAGAAATCCGGGCCCGCCGCTGGAAGAGAAGGTGGGAGACAGTTCGTTATTACGGGAGAAAAAACCCTCCTGAACCCTCGGGGTTGCCGTGGGCGGCACCGGCCGAGGTCGAAGCTTTTCTAAAGCGGGGAGAGTTGTGCCGTGAGTTTTGAGGCACTTATGAAAATTTGAGGTGGAACTTACTTGTGGTAAAAGGCACCAGTTGTAAGCGTACAGCTCGAAAGTTTGGCATGCTCCACCACGCAGATCACGGTATACACATTCTGTCACCCACTGAGGCTTTCTTTACCAAAAATGCATGTTCAAGGGGTCACACATGAGTGGGCCCCCGAGCCAGCGAAGCCTGGAGCGTGGCCGGAGGTAAAAGGACAGAACTGGGGCTGACCTACTGCAGGCGCCTCGTGAGGGCCCAGGGCTCTTTGGGAAAGACAGGGCTGCTGGGAAGGTAGGAGGCAGCAGGGAAAGGGGAGAGCAAGCGGGAGATGGACCGGCTCCCCCAGAGGGGCAGGGGGCGGGGCTGCTGAGGGCGGATCCGGCGTCCCGCGCCGGATCGGGGGTCAGAGCCCGCTTGGTGGCAGGGAACGCATGTGCGCGGTGGATAGACAAGGCTGACCACCCACGGGCGAGTTTGCTGAGTACAGCGTGGGTGGCCGCGGCCCCTCCATGCCGCGGCCGCCTCCGCTCTGTCCTAGCTGCCGCGCCTCCGTCGGAGGACGAGCTGGGACGCTGCCATCGAGCCCAGGGCTCGGCTCAGCTCCCGCGCTCGGCGGAGCAGGACACCCGGTGGCTTGCTCTCGGAAACCTCTATTCCACGCTCATCGCCGGTGGTCTGAGAAACTCGCTCACGTTGACGCCACATCTACAGTTGCGCGGAAATAGTATTAAAGAATTATTTCTTTTCTAAAAGGAAAGATACAGATCTGTATCCTCATGAAAAGAATGTAAAAGGTGCCTTTTCGTCAAAATCTCGCTTTCTTCTGAGTTCACTGAAGGAACACGTTCCAGGACCTGCCATGAGCAGGGATTCGGCTCTTAGAAGCTGAACTCCACCATATTTCAATTCCACCTGACTCCTCAGACTTTACCTGATGGAATTTAAGACTTCACGCCCTGCGGTGAGATTTAAGTGCTAACCACCCGTCACCTTCAGAAGGGGGGGGGGGAGGCAGGGGGCGTATGTGGGCAGGAAGACTGGGCGTCAATTTCCTACATGCACCTAACACATATGCTAATAATCAATAAAAAAAAAATGAACGTGCTGCCGTGGAAGTAGGTCAGATCTTTATTAAGTGCTTCGTTGTGAAAAGATCTGCAGTGATTTCCTGAAAGGAAAGGAAGAGGGGAGGTTACTTTTTAACAGGGACGCAACGAATGCCCAGGGGCTGGATTTACCACGCGAAGGAGACATTAAGTCATCGACCCAGCGGGCAGCCGGCGTCTCCGTCCGCGTGCCCGGGCCTCGCAGCGAGAGCCCCGCCGTCCGGGAGTGATTCTGCACACGCGCAGCTTACAGGCAGCCTGCGAGCAGGGGTGCTTCGCCTGCGATACGACCGATGCCTTCCTAGCATTAGCGGCAAGGTCACAGAATAAAAATGTACAGGGTTACGAAAAGGTAGGGCCAGGACAGACCTACTCCGTGTTTATGTACCAACAATAGTAACAAAAACAATGGCCATCCTAGTAAATATATTAGCACGGTTGAAAAGACAAGCTCAAGTCCTAAGAGAGAAATACTTCAGAAGCACAGGCCTCGGGTGCATGTGTGCGGCGCACGCCTAGGAAGATGGCTTGATGGAAGGAGGAGGAAGGGGGGACTGGGTTTGTGGAACTGAGGGAGCGCGGCCTGGGAAGGCGAGGAGAAGCGTCCCGGAGCCCGGCTGCGCGGAGCCGAGAGGAGGACGCAGGGTGAGCGGGAGCCGTGGCCGGCGTGCTCCTGCCTCGGCCAGCGGCGCTGGTGTGTTAATGGGCTCTGTGCCCGGCTGCTTCAACCAGGGAAATACAAGAACAAGGCCAGCGCCGACGTTGTTTGAGACGGCCCCTCCCCCTGTCCCCGGGGGGCGCCCCGAGCGCGCTAACGTGCAAAAAGAACAGACGCGTTTTCATTTTAGGTAAACACCTGAATTGACATATTCATGTAGGGGAAAAAAAAAAAATCAAGTCCCTAGAAGTTTTTTGAAAAGGGTATTTTGTGAAATAGAGTTACAAATTTGCACCAGATAGAACTCCCTTCTTAAAAGTCTGCCTTTCCGCACACATATATTTTCATCATGGTAGGCCGACATTTTTCATCCGTTCTGCAGGAATTCCGTAGTTGATTCTGAAATGAGTTTACATAAATCAAACTGTGCACAACACATAGGTGTAGGTGTCAAAAAACTGCATATTGCTTTTTATGGGATTTGAAACAACACTGTAGCGGCCACAGAGAAGGCAGAAAACACTTGTTCCCATTTCAAAAGCATTTGCACTGCACTATTTACGTGCATACTTTTGGATACGCCAGAGAGGAGACTGGCTCTGAAAGCCTTGTACTAATAAAATGGAATTATAAATTCCAGTTTTTCCCTTTGTCTCCTTCACTGGCTTCATTGACTCCCCGCACGAGCCACCGCGCCCAGCAGTCAGCCCCGCGGCGGGAAGCCCCGCCAGGGCGGGTTTCCTAACAACCTGCCTTCCTGTGAATTGCTGGCACCTGAGGGGCCACTAAGCTTGTGGGCTGACGCTTGGTCCTGCCTGGACCCTGCGTTTGTTCTGACTCCCAAACGTTGGTCCAAGAGAGGCTTGAAGGAGAAGCAAAAGAAGCCTATTCGCCCTGATGTTCTCAGGGAAGCGGTAAGCTCCCCAGGAAGACAGTGGCAGGCCCTGACCTTTGGTGGCACGTGACAAAGTGGGTGCACATGGAAGGCAGAACTTGAGCAAGTTCCCAACAGCTCAGAAAAGAGGAAGCCAACTGTCACGCCGCCCAGGGAAGCCTGAGGGTGGCCCGGATCCCGTGACATCCTTGTGTGCTAACCCTGATAAACTTAGAGGGCAGTACCGGGCGGGGAAAAAGAGTAGGTTTACTACTGTATGTGAAACAGAGCTTATTCTTGTATTGTCACTTATTGATCACTGTATGATTCTCCATACGAACAACTGTAAACCCACTTTTGCCCTGCCCTGCATTTTTTGAACGAACCCCTAGAGGGCGCTGTTCTCCCGTGTTGGACCGAGACATGCCCAGCACCTCCTCGGCTGGAAAACGGCACTTTTTATTATTATCAAGGATTTTAATACGCCGACATTACATTATCTATGAGATGCTTCCGGCTGAGAGTGCTCATGCAATTCTCAGCTGTTTGCTTTTGCTTAATTATATGACCCTTGGTCACACGTCAAGGGTACTTTAAGTGTCCAATAGCACCCTTGGCAACAAAGTTTTGTGCCTTCCTATCATTTCTCAGGAGACAGTGAGAAGGATGCTTCTTGACCGGATGCGCAGCGGGGGTCCCCTCGGGGTCGTGGCGTGACCCGCCCTCTGCTCTGTCAGAGGGAAGGATAATCAGGACACTGGGCCACGTCCACCACGGCCCGTCCGTGGACACGTATGGGGACGCTGCCAGGTCATGGGCACTGGTAAAGCTGGCACCTTCAGGAGACCAGAACTGCGCCCCCTTTAGCCTTTACCTGTCACCTTCACCCATCCCGCATCGTTCCATAAACAACAAACCGGGAGGGAACGCCCCTGTTAAAATATGCCGGCCCCGGGGACGTGATGCGGACACTGACGTTGGCGCACGACTCCTCCTGGCTCGCGGGGGCGGGGGGCGGGGGCGTGCGAGGGGCTCGGTTTTCCCTCCAGGTCCGACGGTCCGGTTCAAAGCGAGGCCTCTGTGACCGAGGCGGGAAGGCACCGGAGCTGGAGCGGAGCTCTGGGGCGGAACTCCGCTGCTCCGACATCCGGGCGACGCGTCCGCGCGGAGCGCCTCGCGCCCCGGCCCGCCTCCGCGCCGCTCCTACCGCAGGGCTCTGGTGTTTATCGCAGCCCAGGAATAACAGTATTTACAGTCACAGCGTTGTTCTGGGAACTAAATGAAGTGATCCATGAATTATACATAGTGCGCCTGGCACGGCCTCCGCCCTGGCTTCCCTACCCGGCTTCCCTCTGCCATTTCCACCACAGCCACGGCTGCCACCGCGCCGCGGGGGGCTTTATGCTGAAAAACTTACTAGAGCCAAAGAATGCATCTTTTTTAAAAAAGAATCCTCACCTGCGGATAGGTTTATTGATTTTAGAGTGAGGGGATGGGAGAGAAAGAAACGGCGACGTGAGAAACATCGCCTGATTGCTCCCCCCACATGCGCCTCCATGGGGGGGTCGAGCCCGCAACCCTTGGTGCCTGGGACAGCGTCCCAACCACCCGAGCCGCTCGGCCAGGGCTAGCGCCTCTTGTTTCGAACAAAAACGTTCTTACTTTGAAATGACAGGCGCGCGGAAAGCTGCAGAGATAACACAGGGGCGCGTCCTGACCCCGTCGGCTCCCGGCTGGCACCGCGCGCCGCTCGGGCGTTCTCTCCCGCTTCATCCGGACGGCGTCCGCGTACAAAACGCCCCGCCGAGACCCAGAACCCCGTCTCCCGGGGCCGCGCCCTCCCTCCTGCCGGCACCCCAACCTGCCCCTCGCTGCGCGTGTGCCGTCTGAGCGTGTGATATATGTGGAATCGGATGGCATGTGACCTCCTGGGAGTTTTTTTCACCCGGCACAATGCTCCCGAGAGCCTTCCAAGTGCCCGTGCGTGTCACCAGCGAGCCCCTCGTTGCTGCTGCGTGGCCTCTCCCACCGCCCGGCTCAGACGCGGAGCCGGCACGCCGCTCCTGTGGGCCCTTCGGGCACGGTGGCGGCTGACCCCGGCCTGGAGCACAGGAAGCGCTCGCGGTCTCTCAGTACCTTTCCTGGCAATGAGCACCAACAGGCTGATTTTTTTTTTTTTTTGAAATAAAAGGTTTGAAAAGCCAAAAATTAGTGTGCAGAGATGGATGAAAAATTTTCTTCCTATTCCAAGGAAAACATGTTAGAATCACATCAGAACATTTCCTACCCAAGGGTGTCCCACCTTTTGGCGTCCGTGGGCCACACTGGAGGAAGAGTTGTTTTGGGCCACACATTAAATCCATGAACACTGATAAAAACTGATGGAAAAAAAAAAAAAAAAAAAGGACTTCAATCAATTTACGATTTTGTGTTGGGCCCCATTCATAGCCATCCTGGGCCACACGTGACCCACGGGCTGGACACCCCGTGACCTGTACAGTCACTACCACGTCGATTAAAAATCATTTCTCTAAGATGCTTCAAGTAGGGCTTCAGCCACTAGCCCCGTTCTCACCTCCCTTGAGCTACCGAGAAGACTGTGCATTTTAAAATACCTGTCCGCTCGCTGACCTTCTTGTATCGTCCCAAATTAGTGGCATTTCTTGCTACTTGGCACAACGTCCTAAAGGCTCACGAGAGCTAGCGTCCTGGGCGGACAAGCAGTGTGTAGCCTTGTGAGGCCACACCGGACGCGCGTAACTTTGTTGCGAGGCAGAAGCATTTGCTGAGTTAACAGAAGGGGGTCAGGGCGCGCGGGGAGGGAAGCCTGGGGTTCCGGCGGCCACGGCCGCGCCCTGAAGGCACGGACTGTGCGCCCGGGTCTGTCCGTCCCTCCGGCCCAGCGCGGCACCCAGCCCGGAGCAGGGGTTCGGTCGCTGCGTGGGGAGTTAACCGACACTGCAGGAGAGAACGCGGGACTCCGTGCGCGGCAGGAAGTCCCTCTCGCGCTACTCTGCCGGGTCTCAGCCCGTCCCTCCCTTCGCGGGGCTGGGAGAGGCTTCCTGAACTTCCTGCTCTGTGGACAGAACCCACCAGCCTCCTGGCAGCTGGGCCTCCGTCTAACAAAGCAGAAATTCCCAACATGCTACCTGGGCTGTAAATACTCTTCAACCACCTGAGTGGGTGCGGTGGGAGATGTTTACCAACAAAACCAAACCAAACCAAACCCCAAACTGCTTGGTTTTTGGTGCCTGCCCATTTCTGCGGCATCGAGGCTTCCGTCATGGCCGACTTCTAGCCACCAACAAGGAGCCACGAACGCTGGCTGCCCCGCACTGTCCCGAGCACATGCTTCGATGGAGGGCGGGACCAGGGTCCGGGGAGCTCAGTGGTCCCAGACTGGGCCTCCCCGGCCTCTGCCGGCCCCCCTCACCGCCACCCCTCCTCCGATTCCCTGGATGGGCTCGCTTTGCGCCAAGACCGGCCCCCTAGGGCTCGGGGAGTCAGGCCTGCCCTGGATGCCCATCACCTGGCTGCGACCGGCTGGTGTTCACCGTGTTCCTCCCGTGAGGCGCTCACTGAAGGAGTGTCAGCCGGCAAGGAGCGTGCTTACATCGCCCTTTTGCTGTGCGTGTTTTCAACCCCACGGACGAGGCTTTACTGACGGTGGCCTGCCTCACCCTGAGCACTCATGAGCGCCTCCAGGAGCCCGGAGGAGCCACTGCCTGCTCCCACGTGGGGAGGAGAAAGCTAGAACGTGGCTGGAGCGGATGCCCATGCCGGGAGAGACCGTCCGGGTGGCCGGTGGCGCTTTTGTCCGCCCGGGGCTCAGTGATGGAGGCGGCAGGGGCCCCCGAGGGCAGGCTGCTTCCTCCACGGCCCCTCCCTCCACCCCACCTGCTTTTGTGGGTGGAAAGCCACTCTGCTGGGATGGCTTAAGGTCGGCTAATGAGGGGATCTGCAGGGAAGATTCTAGATGCATGACACCTAACTAAGTGTAACGGATCATCAGAGAGCCTGGGAGGAGCTCGTTCACTGTGTGGCCTCCTGAATCTGGCTGCGTGAGCGCGGGCTGACGACTCACAGTGGTAGGATGCGCGCCCCTGAAAATGGGGCGCTTGAAGTGGGAGCCTCGGGGGCCTTGTGGGAAGGGCAGGATCTCAGGCCCCACTGCACACCAGCGTCAGGACCTCCATGTAATTTTTACACGTGTTCCCGTGGGAAACAGACTGCTGCTTCTCCCCCGGCGCCCGTTCTGATGCCCCGGGTTAGGCTGCAAGGCGGCGGAGAGGGGGTGTGAGCAGGAAAAAAGAGCTTCACTTCGTTTATTTATCCACTAATTGAGAGAAACGCATGGGAGATACGAGTGAGACACAGACTGGTTAATACGCTGCAAACACGGCCGAGGCCAAACAGGGTTAGGGTAGGGGCCGGTGTCAGTGGACGTGGCACAGAGTGAAGTTCGGCGGGGTGGGCGGAGGGAAGAGGAGGAGCTCGCCTCTTCCTGGCCGACGAAAGAGGCTCCAGCTTTCCTCCTGGGCCAAGGTGTGGGGAAGAACTGTTGGAAATCTCCCTGTGTGAGGACTCTGCCCAGCGAGGACGTGAGCCGGTGCGGGGTGGTTCGGCCAAGGGGTACTCAAAAGCTCCCAGGCGCCGCTCACCTGCAGCCAACTCCGGGCACCGGGGAAACGGGCTCACTGGCGGCTCTGTGGCTGCCGCGGCAGCGGCTCTGGAAGGGATACAGCAGCGAGAGCAGGGCGCGTCTTCCCGGGCGACCAACGCCGCCACGTGGGGTCAGTCTGGAGGGTGAGGCGAGTAAGCGCATCCTCGTTTTACTGACATGTGAAGATGTGGGAACCTTGTTAAAGGCGCCAAGGATGAGCGTGAGACACCAGCGTGGAGCCTCCCCTGGACGTGCCCGGGGAACGCCCGCACCAGTCCCTCACTGGGGGCTGCCCCCCCGAGCACGTCGCTTACCCTCTGACCTGGCCCAAGGGGGCGGCCGAGGACCCCGACCGCGCGCAGACGGCCCGTGCGGAGCTCCCTGTGGAATAACTCCCAGTGTAGCTGTGATGGTTCTCTCCTCTGGACGCTGATCATCTGGATGAAAGCCAGAGGGCCAGATAGCTGCTGGGGCCCGCACCTCCCTTTCACTGGCCCTTGGGGGCGCTGAGGTCCCCTCTTCCCCACTCCCCCCTCAGGAGAGTCCGCCCGACACTGAACGGTGGGACAGGCATCCCATGGGCCGGCGGAGTCGGGCCACATACAACTGACACCCACTGGCCCTTCGGGACAGTTCGTCCCTTGTCGACATCAGATGCCCGCTCCGACCGGGGTGAGCTGGACCCCGTGACCCAGCAGGCCAGTCCGGCGCAGTCCGCTGCCTCCGTGCATGCAGCATTTACGGAGTGGGTCCTATGGGTGTCACTGTCGTGTTCAGTCCTGAGCCGGGGCTGAGCTCATTAGATGATGAGCGAAGCCACACACGGTCCTGACACTGAGGCACAGCAGCAGAAAGACGGAGACAACATCCAAACAGGCGAATGGCGACCGCTGCCTCTGTTTTGGAGACAGTCAAAGCTGCAGAACGACCTGTGTGTGTGTGTGGGGCGGGTGGCGGGAGGAGGGAGACTAATCTGCAGACCAGAGAGGTGGGTGTGGCGCAGGAGCCGGGGCGGGGCAGCCCACGGGGCAGAGCCCGGGAAGTGCGGAGGTGGGAGATCGAGCGTCACGGGTCAGCTCTTCAAACAGACCTGTCCAGGCCTCGCCCGCGCTGCCTCCTCCCCGGCTGAACTTTGCTCCACATCAGGAGGGCAACAGGCTAAGGTGGCCCAGACACTTTGCTCAGTTTAGAAGGGCGGTCGATAGAGGAACAGAAGTGCGGACCAAAGGGACGTGTTTCCCTTTCGGCGTCGGCAGAGGCTGATTTAGGCAGAGTCTTTGGGGTGTGTTCGCTGTTTCTCCAGCGGCATCTTCTGTCTAAAGACCTCTTTACCTACCTGCTGATATCGAGCAGTTTTGCTTGGCAAAGCCCGGGTTTCTTAGAGTGACTTAGAGTTTTTCATTTTTTCCTTCCCGGTACAAAGACTCACCTACGACACGCAGCTCCGCGCTGGAGAAGATCGCGCCGTGTCGGTTCTCTGCCACGCACTGGTACATGCCAGCGTCGGAGAGGTTCGCCGCCGCGATGCTGAGCGTCCCTTGGTCGACCTGAATCCTGTCCTGTGAAAGGAAAGAGGAACACAAAACAATGGCTTTCTGCAACGGAGACCTCAGGCAATTTCGCTACATGTTATATCAAAGGGCCTTAATGGGGAGAAAATAGCCCTCATACAAGCAATTTTCATAACATGATCTATTTATCTGTCAACTAAATTTGTGGCAGGTCAGATGCTGAATGGAACAACCCATACATCAATTGGAAAATGGAATTTAAATTGTAGGACTCTCTTGAGTTCTCATTGATTTAACAGTGAAAGCATTCAGATTAATATCTCTGTGGAATAGATGAACTTAACATTTCAAATGCTTTTTTACTCTCCGGCCCGTGCTGCCCGAGGGTGAGGTGTGGGGCCGGTGCTGGAAATACAGCCCCAAGGGCTGTTGGTCATATGTAAAACACTCCCGTGAGGAGCAGGCAACCCTGGGGAGATGGGTCAGACCAGATCGTCACTTTAAATTTGCTAAACACCAAGCAGGCCTGAGGGATTCACTGTCCCCTTCCTCTGCTGCTGAAGGCCATGTGCGGCAGCTGCCCAAAGGGGGGGAGTCGGTGTCCGGCACAGGGACCCCGAGGGCAGGAGCTGCGTTACCCACGTTCCTGAGCACCAGGACGGCCCCGCCTCCCCCGAGACCCACACTGAACAGGTGACATGTGCGTGGACGCCTGGCGTCTGTTTGCCTTGGAGCGACATGAGCTGGCTGGACACCCACCGGCTCTGGTCAGATCTAGGCCCTTGTGCCCTCACGGTAAACGAGGGAGGAGCGTGCGGCCACCGGGGCACCGGCGCTCGGGGCCGTCGGTCTGGCTTTTAGAACTGAGAGCGCGTGTGCCAGCCAGGGCCAGGGGTGGTGTGGGCGCTGGGCGCGGGCCGGGCCCCTCGGCCTGTCCACTTTCGAGGCCAGTGACCCAGTGACCTCCCTGCCAGTGCCCACTGCAGGCCCTGCCCAGGGGCCCTGTGCCCGGCGAACTGGCCCTCGCCTGGGGCCTGAGGAGAAGGTCAAATTTCAGTGGACACTTGAGTGCAGCCGGAAAATACAATAAGGAAAATTAAAATGGACACAACAGTTCCCTGTCCTGAGGGCCCCCCATCTTCCCCGGCTCCATTCCGAGTTCCTTCCCAGGGTTGGCCCTATGGGGCGGACGCTCCTGGACCACGTCAAGGCCCTTCGTGCACCCTGGGGTGTAGCCTCTCAAGACCCCTTCCGGCACCGGGGTGCTGTTCTCCCAGCCCCAGTGTCCTCTGAAGGAGCTTCCCAAGTGCAAGGACTGGTCAAGGCCGGGTCGCCAAGGCAGAGCCTCCTTGCCCAGCTCTGGGAGGTGAAGGCCCCCGTCTGCCCCAGGGCGCCCCCTGGCGGCCGGCACTGCAGCCGCAGGCTCTGTGACCTCCCTGGGCTCACCCAGCTCCCAGAGCAGCCCAGTGAGCCTTGGGCACACACCCCTCTGCCTGCCGCCTGGTTTCAGAAAATCCAACGGCGGAGCGCGACGTGGGAAAAGCCTGCAAGGAGCACTTACGCTTTTCTTCTCTCTGGGCCGAATCTCTTGCCTCTCAGTCCTTTTCCTTAAAAAGCTTTCCCTAAACCCATTTGAAAGGCTTCTTCAGGCCAACTTGGGCAGTTCTGAGCTCAGCAGACATTTAACATTTGGATCTTGGCTCCATTTCTGACAAAGGATGTGATCTTAGGCAAATTGTTCCGTTACGCCCCTTTTACAGATGAGCCAGTGTCCTTGCCTAGAAAGGGGACAGTGGCCTTTACTCCTCAGGCCCCTTGGGAAGGTCCGATGTGACAATGTGCTTGAAGGGGTAGGACGGGTCCGCGTTTGCTAAAATTGTTTGAGAAGCATGCCTCCCACGTCCTTTGTGAATGTTATTATATCCTATCATTTCTCCCTACAAAATAAATAGTCTCAGGAGAATTTCTATTTCCTGGTTATGTTTCTAAGATTCTCCTTGGTCTTTTAAAAGATTTATCTGCTTATCTTTTCAAAATATCTTGCTTATTTTTACGGACAAGATTTCTTCGCTTATCTCTTCGAGCATTGTACACGGAGATTCCTATTTCTTTGTTCAACTGTTTTATACATGGGTTATCTTTCTAGAACATCACTTTTGCATATGGCTCGGGGTATTGGTTTGCAGACTTGTTCGTAGAGTTATTTTTGTGTGTGTCTCCTTCCCCCCAATTATGGTGTGGTGGCTGTCACAGCCTCGTGGAGCCCTGACCTGCGGGGGCGCGGGGACTCCTGCCCCTCCTGTCCCGGGGCGGGGGTGTGGCCCAGGGCTGCCCACCCCTCTTGCTGGCTACACACTGCATTTTCCAGATGCCTTTGCAGCGAGAGGTGACCTGGTGTCTAAGAGTCCTGCCAGCCAGGCAGCTGACTGGCTGCTTGTTTCACTGGGTGGATGGAGGGGGGCGGGCGGGGGCGGGGCTACACCTGAAGCCTTAGCTCTAAAATGCCTGTATCTTGTCCCTAGAGGGGAATGCTCACATCTGAGCTCCCAGGTACCCCGGCCTGCTCCAGGCCTCCAGGCTGCGCCTCCGTCCCTGTCACCACGGTGAGGACCTGTTCTCTTTGTGTGGCATTAGAGACGCTCCTCCTGGGTTTAGTTTGTCCATGCGTGTTGGAGGCAGAGGGGGTCTTTGCATGGCGGGCGTCGTGCGCCCTGTGGTTCAGACGCCTCCCAGGGGAGCAGCCACGAGGCCGCGCTGCCCGGGGAGTCTGGACTTGGAGAGACCTCGCTCGCTCGCGTCCCCGCACACACGGGGCCCTGTTTCAGCACCACCGCGCGTCCCAGGCCAGCCGCACGGCTCCCGGCTGTGAAGCCAGAGGAGTCAATCGGCGAAGCCCGGGATCTGCTGAGAAGCTGAGGAGCGGGGTTCGCAGGTTCTGTTTTTCAAGTGCATTCCCTTCCACGTTTTTCACTACGAGTGACACCAGGTCACACGCTATTTTAGCAGCAACTCGTCATTTTCCTGTTTCCATAGCAACAAGGCCACATTAGACAGGACAGTCAACGCTGAGACACAGCCGCCGCCTGTTTGCGTACCTGCGTGAGCAGCGGGTCCCCGTTTTTCAGCCACCTGTACGTGGGTCTGGGCCTCCCGCTGGCCTTACACTCCCAGGACACGTTTTCCTCAATGGCCACGTGGATGTCGCTTATTTTCTCAATCCAACTGGGTTGAGCTGTAGCCGTTCAGAAAGCAAAGAAAAGACGCACGTTCAGTGCCCAGCCTATTTTTATCACAGGCAATCAAGGGACAAAAGTTGGCTTCTAATAAAACTCCTTTTCCAGATGTTATGCAAATTGGAAGGCCGGGTAGAAACTCGGAGGGAGATTTCAGAAGGCACCCGCCCCACGCCCAGCTCTGAACGCCGCGTTGGTAGCCTGTGTGGCTGCTCTTTTCATCACTAAAGGCAGAAGGAACGACACTGGCGTCAGCCATGGGGCAAAGCCAACTGTCCCTTTCCCTCGGGTAGTGCCCCCCCGCCCCCTTTTGTGTGGGACAACTACCCAGAGCTGCCCACCGTTTCTGGCTGGGCTCACGTTTTGCCAGCTACACACTACGTTTCCCAGAGTACTTTGCAGCGAGAGACAACCACGTGACTAAGCTCATGCCAGCGGCACCTGTGCCAAGTCCTGAGCGCACCTTCCAGGCTGTTTACGGAGATGCGTGCCCTGGGCTCTCACTGCCCCCTTCTGCTGACGGGACAAAGATGACAACGAAAACAGCTCTGGGCTCAGGAGTAGGACAGAAAGGCCAGCCTGTCACCTTGAATGACCTTGGGGAGCAAAGCAGCCCCAGACTCACCGGCCTGTTTTTGGAAAGACACGTGAGACCGAAATAGGCGTCTTTCGGCCGCTGTGTTTCGGGGTCCCTTGGCGACAACAGCTCAGCCTGGCTCTGACTCACACGACCGGCCCCGCACGCTGCACAGGCGGCTTCTGTGACTTCCTGCCACTGCGCTGTCACCGCTTCCTACCATCAATGCTTGTCACAGCTGGGACAGACTGGCACCCACAGGGGGGTGGCCCCGGAGTCCTGATTTTTGCCAGAGCCCTTTCAGCAGCCGAATCCTGCCCACAGTTAACGCGGAAGTCAAGCCGCCGCCCTGCACCCCCCAAATCACGCCCCGTTTCTCCTGCTTCCCCCGAGGACACGTTGCCTTTCCTCGCTCGTACAGCAGGTGAAGGAGCGTTCGCTCCGCCCGCGTTCCTGGAAGCGTCTTCGTCACGATGGTGCCTTCTGCCCAAAGCATGGGTCACGCTACAGTTACTACGCAGCGAACGCATGTAAGTAGAGGACCTCCACCCCAGATGCCACGCAGAGGAGAACCTGCCCCTCATTCTGGGATTCCGCAGGGGCATGCCCGCCAAGGTGAGCCCAAGAGTCCGAGTCCACGCCAGGATCTAATTCGAGGACACCACTCGACGTTCTTACCACGCCGCTCCCGGACGCGGCTCCGAGTCTCCCTTCACCGGGGCGCCGAATTCTCCGTAATTTGATTCAAAACGAAATTGCTAGTGCTGAGGCCAAACTATCTTCCTTTGTTAATAATAAACACAACGAGAAAAACACACAAGTCCCTTAACCAGCAGAGGCCTCCAGGGTCCTGAATAAATGCTTCCTCTTTTTTCTGGAAGCAATTTCATGTTTTTCAAAGAACAAAACACAATGTTACAAATCCTCTACTGATGGAAGCTTTGCTGCAGAGGAGGGGAGGCCAGCTGGGTCGACTTTCAAAGGAAGTCACACCAACGAGCCTTAACCCGAACGCAGGGCCACCGCTGTCACCCTCGCGGGAGCTGCCAGTGGCCGCGGTCCTGTGTTGGAAATGCTGGGGAAAGTCACAGAGACGTGGTCCTGCTTCGAGGGCCGGGGGTGTGGCCCTGGTAGGGCTGATGGCTTTCCCGTGCCTGATCCCACCTTCCACCTGCTGCCGGCGCACCCCCCACCGAGCCCACAAAGACAACGCAGGCGGGAAAAGCCCCAGGGAGCTCTGGGGAATATTAACTAAGACAAACTTTTCAGCGAAAGGGAGGGAGAAAGCCAAGGGCTGATGTAACTGAGGAAGCCGTGTCAAGTTGAAGTGGAAGAGGAAGCAGGAGAACCACGTGCAGAGAGAGGGGTGTCACTGGTGCAGCCTTGCGGTACCGCCTGAGTGCGTTCACGCCCGCTTCCAGGACTGCGGAGCGCTGGGCGCGCGCCGCGCGGCCCGAGGGAAGGGACAGGCAGGGAAGGGCGGCTCTGGCCGGGCCTGAAAAGATGCTCCCAAGTGAGGCCGGCGCAACCCTTTGGAGGGCTGGCTCCGACAGGGTCCTGGAGGCCCAGGCGCTTGGCGGGGAGCTCGGTGGCCGTCCTCTGTGCTGGCCAGTGGGCAGTCGTGATATCGTCAGCACCTCCTTCTTTTTAAAGTGAAACTGATCCACAGCAGCTCAGTCTGAAATGATACAGACATGCTCCTTCTGAAGCGAATGTCTCCGCAGGGGCTGGGAAGGTCCGGATTAAACGCCCTGATGTACGACAAGGGGCGAAGAAGGAGATACCCTTTCCCCTGACCCCCCGGCGGCAGCCCCACGGGGCAACGGCCCACGCTGCGGCCGCCGCTGCTCCCCGCTCGGACGGGATGGGTCACAGCTAAGCCGGGGAGCTTTCTGAGCTGAAGTGAGGTCCTGCGCCTGTTGGAAATCGTTGGTCTCCGTCTCTTTGGGTCACCCAGTGCAAAGTCCCTGCGTAAGGAAGGCTGCGTTTCAGGGCGGGATACAACACATTGTTTGCTTCCTTTTCTTATAATGCATGTGGGTCTACGGCATTTTTCACTTCATATCTAGACTACACTTTATAACTCCATGCCTCAATAAAATCTCCAGGGAAGGCCTGAGCTGGTTGCTTCAGCATGATTATTTCAGAAAGAAGGTTATGTCTGAACGCCTTTTTGGGCAATATATGTAGCTCCCGCATATTAAACAGAATTAATCATGCCCACATATAAAAACAGAACCATCTGCTCTGGCTATTCCTGTTCTTTCAAGGCGTGAAACAGAAGGATCCCTCCTCTAAAACATCTTCCGTTTTATTCTCAGGCTACCCATATGAGGGTAATGGCTGTGTTGGGTTTGACCCTCTGACTCTGCTAGTCTCTTGGACAGATGAACAGTCTCTTCATTTCAATCTTCTGTTCGATTAACTGCCCAGAAATGAGCTAAATCAATGCGCGGGTACGCATTCCAGCCACTGCAGTCGCGCCCAATACCAGTCTCTATTGGAGATGGATATAACCTGAATTTAGTGGTCAAACAAGTCTCAGAGCTATCTGGCTGGTTCTTCCCAGCCGCAGGCCCCCTGTTTGGTCTCTGCGTGGCCCTCTGACTTCAGACCTCGTCTGCTCCACACACAGCGGCAGCTGCATCTCAAGGGGCGAGGGGGCGGGGGTGCCGATTTCCTTCTCTGAAACCCGATCCTTCAAGTAAAGCAGCCTGCCCGTGTTTTAAATACGGAGCATTTCAGGGAAGAGAGAAGTAACTTGATGATAAAACAACGCAGTACTTTGACAAACACGCTGCTGGGACACCCCAACGTAGCCGCGTTGCAGGGTAGGCTTTGGGCGCAGAGGCTGGAGACGGCACACTCAGGCTTCCCCCGGACCGGGGGGCCAGGCGCCCACAGGGGCTAGCGCCCCGGCGTTACCGTGCGGAGCGTGCGGGCGGCCCCCCGCGCCGGCAGGATGCGGGGCCTCCGGGCCCTCGGTCCCCTTGGTGTCCCTCGGGCGCGCCCGTCTCTGGCCTCTTCGTCTCCTGACCCAGTTACTAGGAGTCTCTCCTTCTGGAAGGTGGGGCAGCTACCTCCTCCCCCCGTGATCCGTGCAGCGGCCCGAGCTGTGAAGACTCCGTACAGGAGGGCATCACGAACACAGCGCCGGGAAGCCCGACAGAGACCAAAAAAAAAAAAAAAAGGCAGCCAAGCCCTTCGTACTTCAGTCGCCTCTGCGTCACTGGGGCCACGCGAGGAAAACCAAGGGGTAAGCACAGGGCTGCAGGCGGAGCTGGGGGGCCGCCGGCCCGATGGGCTTCGGGCTCCGCGGTGCTTGCAGGCGGGCGAGGGCGGAGTCGCCTCTGACCGCAGGCCGACCGCGCCGCCTCCTCCCCACGGGGCTGCAGGGAAGTCTCTGTACGGGCGGCGGGGGCAGGGAAACACCCTGATCTTAAAAAGCTCTCTTACTTCCTGATCTCCATCTCAAGTCCGGATCCCCGACGAACACGCTGCCTGCGCAAGGCCCTGCCGGTGGGGGCACTGATGCCCGGAATGACACTCGGGAGCGTCGTGCTCCCGGGGGGCGGGAGCTGTTCCCCGGGAGGCCGCTGCGCCGGCGCCCGGTGACGGAGCACTTCGTGCCTCCCTAGCATACGGAAAACCGGGGTTCCACTCAAAGGAAAGTAGGAAAGTGGAAGTGACTGTATGTGATCTGCTGAGCAACGCCGCTGAACCGAAAAGTCTGTCCGACGAATAACAAAACAGATCGTTGGCCGTTTACCGGAATATCTTCAGGTAGTCCTTCTCTGACATATAAAAAATGATTACATAATTACCACACCGGTGAGAAAAAAGTGCCCTACGCCCCTAAAACAGACGGCCGCTGGGTCTCCCGGGCAAACGGGAAGCTCCAGTCTCACGTTTCTCCCGGCAACAAGCTGTACTGTCTTTTGCTCTTCAACCACCAGTCAAATAAGGTGCCAAGGACCACGGGTTAAGAAAGTGCCCATTTCTTGTCCGTCGAGCCTGTCCTGTGGCCTGAGTGGTTAGTCCTTGTTGTGGCTGAAGGAGGGTGAGTGGTTAAGGCGGGGGCGAGGGCGTTCGAACGGCTGCTGCCTCCGTGGCGGCAGTTCCGTGAGAACAGCGTGTGCCCTCCCGCCAGGCCCACGGGCTGTGCGAGGCCAGGGCGCAGAGGGCCCTCTGGGAGAGGCCACGGAAGGGGGGCCGACGGTCGGAATCTCCTCCCAGCTCCCGTCGTGGTTCTAAAAAGCCTCCTAAGACCATGGGATTAAACTCTGTGGCCATACCCTAAAACCAAACGCTTTGGGAGAGAAACTGGTGAAATACACAGACTTTCGTGGCCTCGGTGACTGCAGGAAAGGAGACGCGGACGTCGCTCGGTCTGCCTCGCCCCACCCAACAACCCTCCTCGCTGTAGCGCAGTTGGTGTTTATTGAAACCGCTCCCGCGTGATCACCCATCGATGGCGGCTGTTCCAGCGGCCTGGACAGAGGGGGCTCGGGCGTGCTCCCACGGGCAGAAGGCCGTGCCCACGCGGTGGAGCCCTGCCTCGGTTTCCCACGGATGCCCCGGCGGCCCCCGCGCCGGCTGGACGGAGGAGTGCGTGCTGGGGGCTGCGTTGCTCCCACCTCGGGGTCAGCGCCCGGGGCCTGGCGGGAACTGGGGCAGCTGCACCCAAACCCTGGGGGGGGCGGGCAGGCGATGGCTTTGCCGCGCACCACTCCGATCAGAACCGAATCTGGAGAGTGTGCATTTCAAAATGGTGATGAAATCGCGGCCGAAGAGGAGAAATGACAAAGGATTAACTCGAGCCCCAAGTCAAACCCTGAGTGAAGCGAAGCACAGAGCTTTGAAAACCAACAGGCCCAGAGGAGGAAAGCACAAGGCTTCCGGCGCCCGGCTGCAGCCTGCTGGCAGGGGACAGCACGTGCGTCCCCGGGACCCCGTCCCCACACGCGTTGGCCTGATTCCCTCCCGTCGGCTCCCCAACGCCCCGGCTGCCTTGCTGCCGCACCCGGCAGCCCCCAGGGGGCGCTGGTCTGGGAGCGAGCCAGGGCGGGCACAGGCCCCCGGCGCCACCCTTCCCAGAGGCCGACATCAACCCCCAGCGCACGATGGGACGACCGGCCGAGGCCTGCGAGCGACGCGCCCCCTGCAGACACTCACCGTAGAAAGTCAGCTGCCCCCTTGCGACGTTTCTCCCGCGGGAGTTCTCGGCCACGCATTCGTACAAGCCGGCGTCCTCCTGCTGGAAGTTGGGGATCTCGAGGACCCCGTCGGCCTGGTGTCGCCGGGCCTTCCGTGCCAGCGGCTTCCCGTCCCCGCGCCTCCAGCTGATGGCGGGCACTGGGCTGCGGCCAGAGTGGGGAGAGAGTGAGACGGCAGGCACTGGGCCGTCCGCGCCGCCCCCGGGGGCCCTCCCTTCCCGGCCCAGACGCGAAAGCCTGCTGGGGGCCACACTTCCCCCGCACGGCACCCACGCACGGTTTCCTCCAAGTCCCCGTCCCTGGTGTCATTAGGTCCTTAGCGTTTTCATTAAAATCAAAACATTTCCTAGCCTTGCACGATGTAATCTGTCTTTTATGCAACATCATCATGGAAATAAAAACAGACTTTCATATGTTTGTTGTGTGTTTTTTTCCCCAGGACACCTGTTTTATTCTATATCGTAAATTCGAAAACAAAACCGTCCATGCGCAAAGGTGGCAGGTGGGCGGCGGCCGTGAACTCTCTCCTGTCCCTCCGTCAGGGGTGGTCTGGCTCCTCCTCCTGGGCCCTGGCGTGTTCTTGGGCCTCCTGACCCCCGCAGCAGGGCAGCAGGGGCTGTGTCCCTTTCGAGCCTCAGGCGATGGGAAACGGCAGCCTGCGCCCTCTGTCCCCTGGATCCCCTGTCCCGGGCCGTCCCAGCTCACAGCAAGCAGCCGTCGGGAGGCGGTCTGGGGAAACTTTACTCAAAATAGCGAGCCAGGGAAAGCGGCCATCGCTGTGGTCCTCCTGCCCCCGCCAGGCACCGACCAACCCAAAGGCGTCAGGGGCAGGGCGCATCTTCAGCAGCGGGAGGAGTCACCGAGTCTGCACCCTGTGGGCGGGGCCCACCGCGGCCCCGAAGGCTGCAGCTTCGCAGTGCCCGTCGTCGTTCACTTTTGCACCCCCAGGGACACACGGAGCGGCAACCGCCAGCCTCCCGGGTCAGAACGTCACAGCACCCGCCGCGCTGCGCTCGCTGCCGCCGAATCTGGGCTCCTCGCACAGACACGGACGCAGCGCGGGGCGGGGGCCTGGCCGACGTCCGCGGCGGGGTCTTCACGTTTGACGAGCAGCGCCCCCAACTGCCCTTCCCAAGGACAGCTCAGAGCCAGCGTCCCCGCCACCGTGTGGGTGACGAGGGCGCGCTCCACAGCAGCGCCGCACGCCCGGCCGCACGGCGGACACCGGAGGAGCCCGATCTGGGACTCTCGTTTTTATTCCAGGGCCGTCCCAGGCGTGGGGAGAGGGTTTAAGTCGCACCCCGCCTCAGGTGTGTGCGGCGTGGATTTGGCTCCGTCTCTCTCCACAGGGGGCGTCTCATGGTGTCACCTTGCAGGGTGTCCAGGACCCGCTTTCGCCTTGTCCTGGGACTGGCTTTCTTTAGATGTGTATATATTTAAAATAAAAAGTGGGACCATGTTATAGCGTTTGGCAATCTGCTCTCAGACTCTTAGCGATAAATCGTGGGCGTTTTCTATGTCTGACATGTGGTGTTGCCGCTTGACTTTCATGTCTGTACAGAGTTTAATTGCACAACCACGTCACCATTTACTGAATGTGTAAGTTTTCTGGACATAAAACAGGATCAAACGGTCACTGTACTGTATTCACCGAAGTCGAGATGCTCTGCAGCTTCTACCATCATGACTCGACAATATGGACACCGAAAGGATCCTTCCATGAGAGTTGAAAATGAAATTAAGAAGGAAAGCATTCCTTGCGTGGTTGCCGGGGACACAGACCCCACGTGAACAGAGGCTGCACGCCAGTTCAGGGCTGGGCGACGCTGGGGCACACGAGGCGTGTGGGCAGGGAGTGGGCCGTGGCTTAGCCAGGGCGGGGGCTGGGTGCAGAGGCTCACGAGCATCATTAAAATGCACAGACGTCCCCAAGTTCTCATCGCAGGCGGCAGTTCTGACCGTCCATGCCACACCTTTTCTGCAGGGTTACGGGCAAAACTGTAACCGATTTTCCCTCTCCTGCGCCCTCGGCCCCAGCCACCCTGGGAGAGCTAACTGGCCCCAGGTCGGCTTAGCTAGCGACACCCCACAGGCTGGGCAGTGACGGTGTGAGCACTTTTTTGACGGCTCTGTAAAACAGAGACTCCCTGAGAGATACCAGGTCTCCTCTCCCTCCATTCAAAGCCAGAAGGAGAGACCGGTGATTTAAAAGGAAGCTCAAAGGTCGCTGGACGCACCCTCGGTGACCCGGGGCTGGGATGACGTCCGCGGTGTTCCAGGCGGTCAGCCTGGCCGCCCTCGGGGAGGCCCCTGCCTTCCCGTCACTCGGCGCTGGACAGCGAGCGCATCGCGGGTCGGAACAAGGGGACAGAGGGCGTTGCAGACCTGCCCACCCTCCCTCCTCTCCGGCCACGTCAGGGGGCGGCCCGAGCCTCCTGTGCCCCCGCCCCGGTCCCTTCTCTGTGTGGAGAGACCGCATCTGCCGAGTTACAGCGAGGAAGGCGGGTGCTGGGGTCCCCTCAGAAACCACCGCTGCCCCGGGCCAGGGCAGGCCCTCCCCTGCCCGGAGAGGGCACGCGCGGCCGGAGCGGGACCTACTTGCCCAGCGCGAAGCACTCCAGCCTGGCCGTGGCGCCTCTGGCGGTGGGGACCGTGTCTGGGAGCTGCACCTCGATTTTGGGCTCGTACTCGCCCATCACCCCTGTGAACAGAGACAAGGCGCTGAGTCTCGGAGCGGCTTTCAAACCTGTGAAGTGTCCTCTGGTTGATGCCGGCAGCCCCCCACCCCACCCCCGTCACCGTGGGCCCCAGCGTTTGAAGTGGGCCCCGCCGCCCAGCCCGGTGCGGTGGCTCCGGTCCCGGGGACGGCCGGAGGGAACGTGTCCCCGCAGCACACCATCTGCCAGTGTTGAGTCTCCGTGCGCTCAGCCGCGCTCCTCAAAAATACATTTTTTGTTTTTTGTTAGTCACGAACTCAAAAAAAAGAAAAAAATAGGAAGGGGACAAAGCCTTAGTCACCAGGAAAATCAAATACATTATGTTTTTGGAAAAACACTACAGAAAAATTTTAAATACTTAAAAAATACTTGCGTGCTTTATTATGTCTATATAAGAAAAAACATTTCCGAGTAATCAATTTGTGGCCACAAATTACTTTCTCTTTCATGTCCAAGCTAATCTGAATTAATAAAAAATTAGTACATGCAAGATAACGTCAAATGCCAGGATTTTTATTATATTTTGCAACAATGTAAAAAGGATAATAGGAACAACCTCAAAGTTACAGCCGCTTGGCCAAGGGCACGCGTACCTTGAAGGGCATAATCTCCCACTGTCCCCATCCCGAAAAATGACTCTAGAGCTGTGACCCAGTAACCCCACCCAACCAACGAAGTCCGTGGCGTATAAGGAGACACTGAGCGACTCCTCGTGGGCGCAGCCTGGACCCCTCTGGCACAGCCTCAGCACGCACGTCTCCAGTCCGCTTCTCGGCGCGGCCTCGGCTGCCTCACCCGGAGAGGACAGGGCCCGCCCCTCCCCCCTCCAGACGACCCACAGTTCGCGGCGGCAGAGGCCGCGGCAGTCCGAAGTGAGGCTGGAAGTGGAGGGTGGATGGGGACAGGTGCAACGAGAAACGCGCAGCTTCACACGTTCCGTGCAGGCGACCCTTTTGCACCTGTGGCTTCAGAGCCTGGGAGGCAGGAATGGGTCGCATCCACGTGCCAATGCCACACCGATGGCGGGCGGCACGCCCACCTGGCCGGGGTCGCTGGCAGGCGCGACTTCAGCTATGTGCGGCTGACCACGCGGGTGGTTTGCCTCCCTTCACGGGAAGGGAGGGACCTCAGACACCGCCCGTTCAGCCTCTGAGCCCGGGCCCGGGGACACGTGCTTCCACAGCTACAGAGCGACCACGCCGGCGCGGTGCCCTCGGAGACGCCTCACCGCGTCCCCACACACACTGAGGTCACAGTTCCCGCCTGTCCCTGCCTCCTTCACGCAAGGCTGTCCTCTCCGAGTGGCCACGCAGCGTGTCTTCGGTCTCACGACAGACGGGTCAGCGTCCACGGTTGCGCTCTGCTCCCCGACGCTTCTCACCGCCGCGAAGCTAGACCGGAATGCCCTGCCCCCGCGCCCGGCGCGCTCGGACACAAAACCGCCCCTCCTCTCGGCCACCCTCCGAGTCCTCTTGCACTTGCGGCCGGGCCGGCCTGCCCGTGGGCCTTGCCCCAGCGCCGGCTGCGGGACTTCTGCCAGCAGCCTGACGTGAGCTTCCTTCCACGCCTGAGCCGTGGTGCAGTGTCAGCGCGGTGCCTTGTAGGAGCTCAGGTGCTGCAGACGATGTTTGTCTGAAAGGGACGGTGCAGGAGGCACACGGGGTCAGGCGGAGTGGCCTCCGGGCTGTCTCACGTCTGCGTGTGTCGGCGACAGAGGCATCCGGTCTGTGTCTGCAGCACGGGCATGGGACACGGAACGTACTGATGGATCAGAGCTGGAAAGCAGAGTTTTCACTGCTGTCGAAAGAAAGTTCACTAATGTAGAGCTTGTCCTGATATGTTAGCCATAAAAAATGCAGAAAACGATTTTCTTTGACTGTATTATGGACGTTTTTAGGAACACCTGTGCAGTGTCCCATTTAATTTGGTTACATCTGGCATGGGCTACATTTTTACTGGACTATTTCTGTCACTTTAACTATTCTAGCCTTTGTTTGCTACATTCAATGTAAAAATCTGTGGCCCTTCTAATTTGTTTAAGAGGCAACAGACCCCTGAAACGGGAGAGCCTTTTCCAAGCCGTTGCTCTGCCCACCATGCACCTGTGAGCGTAGCTGGCGAACAGCTGCCCCGGCGGCTCAGGGCGCAACAGGCGGACAGGGCGGGCGGCTAGCGGACTCGTTCCAGAACACTCTTTACAGCTTCCAACTTGTGAAACACGGGAGACGCGGCAGAGGCCTCGCGGTGTCTGCGCCGCCCAGGCCAAGGGGCAGCGGGCGCACGGCACAGCCAGGGAGGGCGGGACACAGACCACCAGCTCAGCGGTGCCCCCTGAGACACCTGGACCTAATTTTAAACATCAAGTAAAAGAGGCCTGAGTTCATCAACATGCACAGTCACTGTGTCCTAGTCTGGAGCCAGAGAGCCGCCGTGCACTGATGGAAGCCACGGGTTCGGAATTCTATCCATCGAGGTCCTCGCGAGACCCAGCGCACTCAGCCCGTCCCGGCCCAGTAACGCCAGCCGAGTGCGTGCACCGTGCCCAGCGGTGGTGCCCAGCGTGGGCCACGCCCGGTCGTTCCCTCCCAACGAGCTTGGCGCATGGCGGTGATGTGGGCTGTGCAGGCAGCAGCTGCCGGGTGAACAGGTTGCAGGGCTGATTCCGGAGGAAGACATGGCGAGAGGTCCCTCAGGGTGTCTCAGAACCAGTGGTTCCCAACCTGTAAACCCCTGGGGGTGCGGGTTGTGTCTCTGATTCAGTAAGTGGAGCTGGTGTCCCAGGCTTTGCATTGGTAGCGAGTTCCTGGCTGATGGGAACGTGGCCTGGCCCAGTGGCAGCCTTGGGGGTTAAGTACCCCCAACCCCAGCCCCTGGCCGGACACCAACGGACACCCTGGGCTAGTCGCGGGGAGAGTGCAGGGCGCGGTGACCTACGGGGCTGTTCTGTGCACGACCTTGTGGCAGTGCCTGTCCCTTGCCAACGCTGGACAATGATTAAGGCAGGGGCTGGAGCCTGCAAGGACACAGGGTCTAACAGAGTGACTGGCGAAACGACAGGCTATGAAAGAGAAGTCAGCCGCATGCCACGCTTGTTCAGCTGCGGTTGGCAGAGGGCCGCGCCGGCGGGGCCGGGCCGTGAGGCTGCGCCCGTCGCGGCTGGGGTCTGTGCCTTTGCTAAATACAACCACGGAAGGGACTTTGACCAACTACCACAGAGTGGGGTTTTCTGCTGAAAAAAAAAGAAATCACAACAATCGTCTTATCAGAAGTTTCCACATTGGCTTCCTTGAGAAATGTGATGTATACTCCATTAATGTCAATATGAAATGTTTGGAAATATCTGATTAGTCACACACATGCCTTTGGCTGAGTTTACCATTTTCCCCTTTAAAAAAGCCTTGTTTTGTCCTGCGCTGAAGGGGACCTTGTGGGGTCAAGGCCACCGTCCAGATGACCTCTTCTGCTGCTCTCTTCCCCAGCCCCCCACCCCCGCCATGGGTTAAATCCCGCTGAATGCAAGGCCACGGCTGCCCACCCCCGCCCCCCAGGCCGGAGCAGGGGGCGGGGCGAGGAAGCGGAAGGTTGCGCCTCAGCTGTTGAACTTGGGGCTGTAACCCCACCTCAGAGCCCTGTGACATCGGAAAACAAACCCCAGGAGGGGACTCAGTCACACCGCTGCTGCTCTCTCCTCCCTTCCAATGAGGCTCCGAGACAACCTGCGCTATTCCAGAAAGCCCTGTCCTGTAAAGTGGGAGTGACAGGCTGCCTGTGTGTGCCAGGGACAGTCAGCTGCGTGTGACATCTGGGACAATTTGCTAACAGTGTCCGGTTGGGGCAAGTAGCAATGAGGTCGTCTTCTTCCAGGTGAAAGAAAGCCAACTTCCATCTTCCCTTAAGGAGGTGTCTTTATGTTCCTCCTCCTAACTAGTTCTTCATATTTAGTTGAATTAAATGCTCTCCCTCAAACTTATTATACATGTTGGTCCTAGTCCAAGTTGCTGGAGCCACAAAGAACAGGACGGTCTTCAGATATTTAAAGATATTATGTTCTCAGGGACTGGAAACGTTTTCCTGTGAAGGGACATATAGTGATGGCTTTATTTAGGTTTTGTGAGTTTCACAGTCTCCGTTAGAGCTCAACTCTGTCACTGTGGTTGAAAAGCAGCCACAGACAATATGTTTAAAAAATAAAAAAAAGCTATGTTTCAATAAAACTTTACTTACAAAAAAAAACAGCAGTGGGCTGTGTTCGGGCTTAGAGGAAATGGGGAAGACAGAAAAGTCTGGGAGAATTAGTAGAATCAACAGGCAAATTATTAGAACTAACGAGAGACGTCCGCGAGCTCGCCAGATGTGCAGTCACAAGAACGATGGCATCTGCATACATCAGCAATAACTAATTAGAGGGTGTGACTGAAAATGCGCTGCTTTTTACAATAGCAGAAAGATTACGGAGAACCTAGGAATTATCCAAAAATACTCAGCCTTTCTAGGGAGGAAAATTTTAAACTTTCTTCTCCTCCAAAGCGGGCCACGGCAGTGCTAGCCTGCAGGAGGGCCGCGCCAGCCTTGGTTGGCCCAGACGCCGCCCCCGCGGCCGGGCATCTCCTTTCCGGCCCCTCCGCCGGCCGGCCGTCCTCGGAAGGCTGGGCTGGTGGCCCAGGCCAGGTGGCCTGGCCCCCAGGCCGTGACAGGGGAACGGGCTCGCTGCAGCTTGGTGGCTCTCAGCCCGAGAGACGCTCAACTGAAGCTGCTGAGAGCCTCTGCTCTCCCCAGAACGGCCCGCCCCCACCTCCAGCATTGAGGCCCCTCCCCCGGACTAACCTTTGAGGACGCGGACCTTTGCGTCCACCGTGACAAATGCACGGCAGGTGCTTGGTGCGCACCTGTTGGTTCAATGCACAATCAGGCGGATGCCACGTCCTCCCTGTTCCAGGCTGGGCCCCCCCGCCTCCCTCTCGGACTCCAAGCCCCTCTGAGACTGTGTTTGTGGGAACTCAGTTCAACAATTTGGTAAAGGATGACACTTTAGCCCCTTCGTTAATGGGGTTTCTCTGAGACTGCAGGTTCTCAGCGGCTGCTGTCCCCTGTTTTTTTCCACACTGTCCCACAGACAAGCCCTTAGCCGATTCTTCCTAACTGCCCAGCTGAATGACCGTCTAAGGCTTCCGGTGCCCGTGGACCGAGGCGGAGTGGGCTGTGCTGGAGGTTGAAGGCGACTGCCAAGTTATATAAGCTCGTCAAGCCTCCAGAAGAGCTGTCTCCATTAAGACCCTATTAAATCAGGTAGGCAATGCCCGTTTGGCAAAGTATCTCACGTCCTACAGTCATTTAGATGTTCTTCTTATGAAACATGATTTACGCCTCCAGATCCTCCAGTGTGATGTTGTTAGAGAATTAAAAACAAGACAGAATTGCTATGGCAAAAGCCACACAAAAGTTGCAGTTAGTAGTGAGAGTAAAATAAAGCAAAGTGTTTTTGTATAAGGTCTACTTCCTAGGCAATAGGAAATTGTGCCTGGGCGAAGCGCACGGCTCCGCCTCTGCTGGGCAGCAGCTTCCCCCTTGTCGTCTAAATGCCAGGTCATCGGTAGAAGGTTGTGGGTCAAGTTTACAATCAAAAGGAGACCCTCCTCATGAGGGCGTGTTTGATCCGACCACTGGGTTCATGGCCTACGTTAAAAATGCAGCTGATCTGGCCTGGCCGCGGGGCTCAGTGGGTGGGAGTGTTGTCGCCTACAGCAAAAGGCCGCCGGTTTGATCCCCGGTCAGGGCACGTGCCTGAGACACTGTGACCTGGGCGACCTTCAGGGATCAAAGGGGTCGTTTCCCGCTTGACTCCCCTTGCACTTACCTGTCCACCATAGTCACTAAATTCCAGAAACCGCGGAGTGGTACTTTCATTGATCGTACGTCACAGAGCCTGTTTAACAGGACTATCATCTTTGCGTTGCAGTCCGTCCTTGGTCTGTGCTCCCCTCTCTCTCCCCTCCGGGCCAGAGCTACTCAAGCCGCCTATTCTGTGCTGCGTGGCCGAGTCGGAGCGCCCATTTCACGTGCTCCGGCCGGAGAGCGGAAGACACCGCAGATTTCCTCTGTGCGACTCTCGTGGAAACGGAGAACAAATGGGCGTTCGTTGCTAAAGAATGAGGTCCTCGGTCAACCACTTTTGTGACAAAACATCCCAACACAAAGCATGTGTCACCTCCGTGAAGATGTACTAGACACATCGAAATAAACCTCGGAGCCGAGGCGAACGCAGAGGCGTGGCCAAGTGGCGGCGCGGGGTGGCCCGGGGGTCCCGCGGCCCCGCGGCCGTCCTGTCTGAGGCAGCTCGCAGTGCGCTGGCTACACAGAGCGCCGGAACGAGGGCACCGCGGGGCGATCGCCGTGGCGCCCCTGCCTCACGGGCAGAGGCCTGGAATTGGGCGGGCTGTCTTTTTAAATGAGTCCATACAAAATGCCCGCGGAGCACGTCTTTCAGAAAAGCGCCTTCCTCCGCGGGTTTGGGGAGGGAGCAGCACCAGCAGCTGGCAGAGCCGGGCCCTTGCCTCCCTTGCCCCATTTTTGTCCCGCGGCACTCAGCTCCATCGCGCGGTAGGGAGCGTGTGCCGCACGGCCTGCCCGGGTCCTGGGCTGGATGAGAGCTCTGCGTGGCCTGACCCCTGCCCCTGGGCGTGGGGCGGGCTGACAGGGACACGCGCACACACCGGCCGAACCCTCTGCTGGAGACAGGGACGAGCAGCCACCAAACTGAGCCTTTCTGTTGCCACGGGAGGAGGCATCCTTTCAGCCCTACAAACAATGCCCAGTGCAAGAGCCGTGTGTGCCCCTCACAAACCGGGTTAGCGCAAGCGTGTCCATAAGCGGCGCTCCGGAAGCCCGGTGCTGTTCCGGAAGCCTGTGTGCCTTCCCCGCGTTCTCCCCACCCCCTCCCAGCCCGGGTGGCGCGGGCCCGGGCAGCCGGCCTGGAAGCCGCCTCCAGACTCCGTCCACGCGTCTCGCCTCGCCCTCCAAGCTGCCACTGTCTCCTGGCTGGGGGACCGCCCCCATCTTCTGGTTGGACTCCAGCATCCACTCTCACTTTTTAAAGGCCGACACCATGCCTGGCCAAGCAATGTTTTAAAAACATACGCCCCTCTCCTGCATGAACTCGCCCAAAGGCTTCACGTGGCACTTGAAGTAAAATCCAGTCTTCTCTCTGCAGCTTCTGACCTGGCTCCAACCTCGACGCTGACCGCCCTGCGCCCTGCGCCCCGGCCACGGCGCTCCGACCGTCTGCGCACGCGCCCTGCGCTCGCTGCACTGCTCGGCCGGGGCTGGATCCAGGCCTCGGGGCCTTGGCGGGGGGGTGGGGGGGCGTGAGCTCGCCCTCCCGGGCTCCTCGCTCTGACCTCCTCGGGGCCGACTGCTCGCCATTCAGGTCCTGTTCTCCTGTCACTGCGCTGGGCGCTGGTCTTCAGGATCCTAAATCCGGACGGCACCTGGACAACTGGGCACTTCCTCCTGGACACCCAGGACTCAGTCACGTAATTTCCCAGCAACGATTAGTGACCCCATCGACCAGCCTCCCGTTCCCTTCTGCCCGCTCCGCGAGTTAAGTGGGGGAGAAGGAAGAGACAGATTCCCCTGTTCTTTATATTCGCCCGAACCCACACTCCATTCCTGCGAGATTAGCAATGAGATTTCTAATTCGTTTTCCAAAACGGATCCGTGGGCTTATTTCTTACGCAAGTGGAGAGGCTGTGGGTGCCGAAGGTAGAAAGCTTTACGCTTCCCCTACGTTTCACTTTGACCCTCAAGGTCTGTGCATCAGCCTCTAACCTCCCTGCCCAACTCGGGGTCACAGAGAGCACACCGGCAAAACCCCTTTGAAAACTCACCATCAGTTCTCAGGGTCAGCGGTGTGGGGGGGCCCAGGACCTTGTGGTTTGTCACTGTATTCGTCACCACACAGGTGTAATTCCCGACGTCAGACGTTTCCACTTTGGCGATGTACAGATTCCCCGTCTCCTGGGAAACGAAGCGGCGGTTATCCTGGTAGGAAGGGTATTCGTTGAAGATCCAGGCGTAGCTCAGCTCTGAAAGCAGAAGGGACCACCGTTACCAATGCGGCTTTTGGGACTGGCCCCGCGCTGCGCTCGTGAAAGGAATGGCCAGGTGGACGTTCACGCTGCTGCCCACGGGTTCCACTCCAGCCTGCGGGTCAGAAACAGGAGGTGACTGCGGCCCTCCTCCTCCCTCAGTCAGTCCCGCTTTATTTCTGGGGAACGAGAGGGCACGCGGGGAGCCAGGCAAGAGGCCCGATGTCTGTACGTCAGGGAAGAGCAGGCACCGTTTGGAAGGCACGAGCCAAGCACCACACAGTGCTCGCCGAGCCAGGCCCGGCGTAGACCCAGGCCGCCTGCCATCCTGAGACACGGGGCTGGGCCACGCAGGACGACGGCCTTCCCCTCGTGGACAATACCCGTGACAGCACATCCGCGCGCCTGCCGCGTACCCGCACAGCACTTTGTGGTTTCCAACACGCTGCGTAGTTCCTGTTAACTGGGAAATTTCGGCACAGAGAAATAAAGGGACTGGTCTCATCGTTCCTGCCTAGGGTCGGAGTGAATTCTCAAGTCTCAATTCGGCCTCCTCCCTCTTACTCAGGGCAAATGCCTACGCTCCTCTTACTTGTGAGTTTCAATCCTTTTTCCATCATGTTAGGGAGATGGTGGTTTAAAATTGCAGCAGATACTCGCTAAACGCACGTTAACCGAAACATGCATAGGCTGGTCCTGTACATGTAAATCTGAATTTTTGAACGTTAGGTGAAAAAAATATTACATCCATAAGGGAGTGACTATAAAGTGACAATTCAAGAGCGACCTTTTTGCAAACACTATTCAACCCAGGACGCCCAGGGGTGGGTGTTGCCGGCCCTGCGTGGCTCTGACTTGGTGAAGAAGTGGGCGGGTGTGGTGTGAACCCGCGGGGCGCCCGGGCTCCCCATCTCAGAGAGGAGCCCCACGTGCAGGAGGGAGGTGACCGGCGGCCATGGGACTCTGTCACCAAGGACAGGGGCTGCCCGGGTCCGGCACTCCACGGCCCCGCGCCCAGCAGGGTGGGCTCCGGCTCTGTGCACGGCTGAGGAGGAGCTCGCCCACCGGCCTGTTTCATTTTCAAAAGTGGCTCTGCGGCCGGAGGGAGAGCCTCGCGCCGCACGGGGCCCTGCGCTCAGGCCTGGCTGGCCACACGCCGCCAGGCTTCAGCCGGACGCCGGCTCATGTCTGAGCGCCTGCGGCGTCCTCGGGGAACGGCTGAAGGCCCACTCAGCGCTGGACACGGACGCTGACTGCTCCGGAGGGCACTTCTCTCACTGCAGCCTCAGCGAGGCCCGGCTGGAGCCGGCCTCAGCAACAGCGACGGCAGGGCCTTTGTCGCCCGCTGTGTACAGACCAGGACGGGGCCAGGCCACCCGCAGCCGCTCGTGGCTCGCTGGACGCGCCCTCCCCACGCAGCACGCGAGAGGGGACCGCCGCCCACCTCAGAGCAGCTACGCACGCCCTTCACGCCTGTGTGTGCGGGAGCTTCCCACGCCGAGGGCGAGAGGCTGCTCCGCGCAAAGGCCCGGCTTCCCAGCGCGCTCTGACCTCCGGGAGAAACTAGCGCCCGGGGAAGGGAGGCCCCGGGGCCGGGTGGGGGAAGTGCTGTCTCCGGCGGCAGGTTTCCCACAAAAACAGGAGATTTCATCCAGCAGCACAGCCCTCCCGACGCGTCCCGTGGGCTTCGGGCACCCCAAGCCGCCCGAGCCTCTCCGCTCTGTCCCGGCGCAGCGAGGACACCGCCCACCCCGAAGGAGCTGCCCGTGAACTTGAAGAAGTAATTGGCGTCTCCAGAGTCACAGGGTCCAAGTTCGAAGGCTGTCCGCCGGCGCAGTAGTGGTCAGCCCGCACCTCCTCCGGGACCCACGCGTATGAAACCCTGTCCGTATCTGTTTCCTAAAGACATTGTTCAGAACTGTTGCTCGCGGCCCCCGGCCGGCCGGGGCCTTCTGCATTTTGTGGGAGAAAGCAGGGTTAGTAACTAGAAGGCTGTTGGCACTACACCTATCAGAAAAACTCATCTGCTTTGTTATTTTTCTAATCTAAATTAAAAACAAAAAGACCAGAAGCCCAGAATTCTGGCCTGCGTTGCAGAAGGCAGGCCTGTTAAATGCGCACTTTCGACCACTAAATCCGTCGACGGGGACAACCGCCACGGGACTCTGGCCCGCGGGGAATAAACGTGCGCGTCACCGCTCCGAGGCACGAGGCGACCGAGTCGTTCAAAGTGCGCCAATTTTTAGAAGTATCGAATAAAAAACACATACTCAATTAACATGCTGTTTAACCTATTTAAAAATAAGTTAATTATTCTGGCGTCACTGCCGCTATGACTGAAGCGACTTTGTGGCCTCGTGGGACGTGCAAACGACCGCGAGCTCACCCTGCGGCTTCTCCTCAGCCGCGCTCCCTGGAATATCTTTTCCCTGTTACCCAAGTTCTCCCCTGACCCCCCACCCAGCCACATTGAAAAGGGTTACAGAATGAAAGGACTTGGAGGAGCGCTGGATTAGCCCAGTTTAACAGAGTTTTAAATTTCTCCTTTCAGAACTTGCAAGAGACTGTTAATGTGCCGACGACCCTGGAGTCCCTCAGAGCTCGTTTAGACAAAGGTATTGCATCACGGGGTCCTCCGACCCCACCCTCTTTAAACACACGCTGGTTTTCTAAGCCTTTATTAACAGGTCACAACACTGAGGGTGGGAAATCCTGATCTAATAATGCAATGACTGCAAGAAACAGGCAGTATAATAGGAAGATCATGACCTACATTGCTTTGGTTGGGGGGAAGAGCATTAAGTAACATTAAACTCCAGAAAACAACAAAATATTAAATAGGTGTTGTAATAAGTTTCCCAAATTGTGATAATAATTGGACGCGGTAACCGTCTGCCACACTGTAGATAGAGAATAAGCAACGGCTGCCAAGGACAGTCTCCAGTGGTCGGCACCAAGGACGGAGACGAACCGCCGTTGGACACCGTGACCTTCGCGCGTGCTGGGGGCCCTGGGTGCAAAGGTCAGCCAGGAAACCCGGGCTGGCGCCCTGGCGAGGTCCTGATGAGCTAACTGCTGAGCTCTGGAAGGGGAAGAAAAACCTCTAAAACAGGTATTAAATTAGTTTTCTTGACAGCAAATCACTGCCTAGACTACTACGTTTTTATTTCTCCAGGACAATGTGGAGCGAGCATAAGGAGTATAATATAATAAAAGTGCAGACGTCAAAGCAGGCAAAACCCAAAGGGCCCCTACTGTGTTTCTCCATTTTACGGACAGGAAAGAGAGCAAAGCTGGAGGTGCCGCGTCCCCTGATTTCAAACTACAGCGCAAACCGAGAGCAATTAAACTATGGTATAAAGCCACGGTAACTAAAACAGTGTTGTACTGGGATAAAAGCAGACACACAGGTCAACACAACACAGTAGTGAACGCGGAAATAAACCCACACACATACGGTCAGTTAACTTATAAAGAAGGATCCAAGAGTGTAAAACAGGGGAAAGGCCAGCCCCTTCAACAAACGGCCCCGGGAAGACGGGGCAGCCGCGTGCCGAGGCTGAACGTGCATGGCTGTCTGCCGCCGCGCACGAGGACGAGCTCCGGGCGGGTCTGCGACTTGAATGTGAGACCCGAAACCTTAAGTCCCAAGAGGAAACCACGTGTGGGAGGCCCTCTTGCACAGGCCTGGCCGATGCAACGATGTTTTCAATCTGACCCCCAAAGCAAAGGCAACAAAAGCAAACAGAAACAAACGAGACCCCGTCAGACTAAAAACCTCCTGCACGGTAAAGGAAACCGGCTAGATGAAAAGGCGCCTACGGAATGCGAGAGGGTATTTACGGGTCATGTAGCTGAGGAGGATTAATATCCAAAAGGTACAAAGAACTCATACAACTCCTGCTGTAAAGGAAATCAGTAAAGTGTGGGCAAAAGATCTCAACAGACATTTTGGTAAAAGAGAAATACAACTGGCCAACAGGTATAGGAAAAGATGTTCGACATCACTAATAGTCAGGGAAATCCAATCAAAACCACAGTGAGACATCACCTCCTGCCAGATAAGGAATAATATGGGTTGGCGAGGATGTGGAGAAGGCGGAGCCCTCGTGCCTTGTTGCTGGGATTGTCAACTGGGGCAGCCGCATGCAGAACCGCATGCAGATCCCTAAAAAATAAATAAATAAAAACAGAACACGCTTTGCTCTAGCCATCCTCTCTCTGGGTACTTATGCAAAGGAAACCAAAACACCGATTCAAAAAGACATGCGCGCCCCCTACGTTCGTTGCAGTACTTCTCACAGTAGCCAAGGTACGGACACAACCTGAGCGCCCACCGGCAGACAAACGGATAAAGAAAGGGCGGCATCGGTGCACATGGGATGCGCCCAGTGAGGAAACCAGACGGCAGTCTTGCCGTTTGCGCCAGAAGGGGCGGGCCCCGAGGGCGCCACGCTCAGGGAGCCAAGCCGGACAGAGGAAGACAAACGCTGTGTGCCCTGTCTTACACGTGAACCCCAACATCGATCCATCCGTCAGCCGAGCTGAAAGGTATGGAGAATGGAGTGGTGGTCGCCTGCGCGGGGCGGGAGAAATGCGTGAAGGGGATCCAAACGTAACAAGAAAGTTTCAAAAACTGTTTCTGAAACCCATCCAAACAAAATTTCCTGCCATTCCATCCGTTCCACAGAAAGACACCTGCTCTCTGGTTCGCCTTTTCAGTCCCAGCCTCCAGGGGCTTGTCACGGTTCTAACCACAGCGACACGCCATTAAAAAAGAGGGACATTCTGGGGCCAGGCTGGGCGAGGCTGGAGCGTCGGGCCGGCGAAGCGGACAGCACCCTGCCCAGGCCCCGCCGCGGCCCCGCCCCAGGCCCCAGGCCCCAGGCCCCCTCCGGGGCGTGAGAGAGCCCGGCGCCGCCAAGAGCGGGGGAGCGCTGTTTCCCTTCACACATGATCCGGTTTCCCCCGAAGAACCAAAGCCTGTTTCCATCCGA